ATACATTGTCAAAAGGCAATGCAGAAATGACATCAGCCTGTTACAGGAGGAGCATGGTGACCCCGCAGTCAGGGATACTGACAAGGTGAAGATATTTAATGCTTTCTTTGCCTCTGCCTTCAACACTGATGATGGACTATCCTGGCTGTGAAAATGTTAAACTGCCAGTTGACCCTGAAGATCTGAGGAATCTGCTGCTCCACCTGGATCCATATAAATTATGGGGCCTGATGGGATTTATCCAAGAATGTCATCACAAAGCCTCCCTGGGTGACTTTTGAAAGTTCTTGGGAATCTGTAGATATCCCAGTTGACTGGAAGTTGGTTAACAATGTTCCAATTTTCAAAAAGGCCAAGAAGGAGGACCCTAGAAACACAGGCCTGTCAGTCATTTCAGTGACTGGTAAAGCTGTGGAGGTTATTCTGGGAAGTAATGAAGAATGCCTGAAAGACAACACAGTCATTGGTCACTGCAAGTGCAACTGCATGAGGGGAGCAAAACCCTGCTTACCAAATCTGATTTCCTTTTATGACAAGGTAACCCAAGCAGTTGATCAAGGGAAGCCAGTCAATGTAATCTTTTAGGATTTTCCTAAAGCTTTTGATACCATCTCTCAGCATCCATCTGGACAAAACATCCATCAGACAGCTGGAAAAGCACCAGTGGTGACATGACCCGAGGGAACGGCCTGATGCTGCGTCAGGGGAGGTTTAGGTTGGATATAGGAAGAGATTTTTCACCCAGAGGGTGGTTGGGCACTGGAACAAGCTCCTCAGAGGAGTGCTCACACCACCAAGCCTGACAGTTCAAGAAGAGTTTGGAGAACACTCTCAGGCACATGGTGTGACTTTCAGGGGCTTTGCAGGCTGGGAGTTGGACCTGATCACCCCTGTGTGCCCCTTCCAACTCAGAGTACTCTGTGAAGAATCACAGAGTATGTTGCTAATTCTAATGTTGCTAATTTTAAACTAATCGTCCAGAGCAGACATTTGTTTTCCATACTCACAGAGTAAATCTAGTAATTAAATATAACTGTTGCCAGACTTAAAGTCCTCTCAGATTATATGGCCTAGTTACTGTAAAAAGCATCCTCCCAGCCCCCCCCAAGGTAGAAGTCAAACCTATTAAAGTAACAGCTTATCCTGCCCTATTTCCACTTGGCAGTCTCCCGTAATGCTGATTTAATATCTGACAAAAATAGGACAAAGACGCTGTCATTTTTGATTAGAGAACGTCAGCTCAATACAAGCAATTTTAACTCTGCTGAGTCTGGGTTAGGGAAGGTGAATGCTGCTTGGCCATATGGAGAAAAATCTACATATCTACTTCTGTCGTCCTGATGATCCAATGAGTTTTTTGCAATAATGAAATTTACTAGCATAGAATTTCTACTACTTCAGCTTAGCCATCCATATTCAGTAGCTTTAAAACTGAAAGTTAACTATTACCTAGAGTTTCATTTAAAAGAGGAATTTATTACATGTTATTTTCAATGCCCCACTATTTGGTGCCTAGGCAGCACAAATTACCACTTCTATTTTTTTTTTTCTCCCAAAAACACAAATTACAGACTACCCAATTGATGGTGCTGATCCCAGTTTCTGTGGTGTTACTCACAGTTTATTCATTAGGTACTGCAACAGATTAATAGTTTTACCTGTGTGATCCCCAAGACAGATATAACCGCTACATTTTTGTTGCATTATCTTACCTAAGTGTGCAGGGTCACCTTTCATCCTATGCCGAGGATGCTGCCAAACATTCCCTGCATACTCTAGATCCCTCTGCTCCTGCAATGGGATTCTTGAAAAGCAAATGCCAGTCTTAGCTTAAGATCTTTGATTTTTCAGCTGTTCAGTTCTCTTACATTATTCACAAATGGTAACACTTGGGGCTAAAATAGGACAAAAGGAATCTTGTCACATACATAAAAACTGCCCTTTGAAGAGGAGCAGACATATACATAATTAACAGTCTTGAGATAATGAGTTCTTTACCTAACTTAATACAATGGTTTTTGAGTGACAAGAGAGTTCAAGAAATTTTGAATATAATTTATATATGTGTAGCAAATTGTAGGTATTATACAGGCTTTCTTTTTTTCCCCATTTTTTCACATTATTTGCTCTGTGGTCATTGATTCTGCAACATAACTGGAAGCGTTTGTCAAATTATTTCCCTTTGAATATGATAGGGATTGGGGTTTTATAATCTCCCAAGGGTTTCAGATTTTTACAAGCTTTTTCAAAGCAAATTTAGATAAAAGCACATATTAAAAAATATAATTTAATATCTCAAAACATTTTGCCTATTAATGTTGCTGGCAACATAAAAATTCCTGTCAGAAGTGAGGATTACTTTCTAAAATAGCAATACTTTGGCTATAGCAAGCTCATTACCTCAGTGTGCACAGTCTTCAAGCCAAAGTTGTTGAGCATGAAAAGTTTGCCAAGGTGTTAATTTCTGGTGAATGTCACACAAGAAGTGGTGACTTATTACAGCTCTGATTGTAGAAGGCAGTGTGGCTATATCTAGCCCTGCACCTGAATAGAGCTTTTCAAACCCAGCTGATGAATGATTGTGTTCAGCTTCCAGATAATGCCAGAGTAGCAGAACTGATGCAGTGTCCTTTGTGTTGGTGTCACTCAATTACAGAAAGGCAAACCAGTTTAAAAAGTGACCTATGTATAGATAACTAAACATAACAATTGGAGAGAGATTATTTTGTCATTTAATCACTTCTGTACCACCAGGCATCACATTTTTACCAAGTTCAGAAAGCTCACATCCCTTCACTACTGAACACTACTGCCCCTTTTACATCTGATTTTTTTATCTCATTTCAATTCCTGCCTTTCCTCCAGTAATGATATCAACTGCAAATTGCTGTGTCTCAGTTTCTGTTCTAAGCACACTTACTCCTTAAGGGAAAGTGAACAATTTCCTCTGGGACTTCCACACAAAGAATCTAATTTAAACCACAATAACAATTGAAATTCAGTCTGCAACTTGTCATTAAGATCTCAGTGACAATCAAGCCAAGGTATACAGGATATTAGCAGTCCTTAAAGTGGGGAAGAAGGGGTGTCACCAAAAAGCTCAGAAAATGTCCATTCAGCTTTTATTTCTTCTTATTTTTCTAAAGCTTTTGCCTCCACATCATAAATTCTCCATCTTCTATTGACCACGTGGGAATTGTAATGTCTAAACTTGGCAGTTGGTGAAGGCCCATAGCCCCAGCTGCAAGATCATTATCTGGTTTCCTGAACTAGAGGGATGTGCTGCAATTGCCACCTGACCAGGGCACTCAGCAAAGCCTCCTGTCCCTATCCAAGGGCAAGCACTCTTCCCTCACTCTGGCATGGCTGCCATGGCATCTGGCAGCAAGGACAGTTGGCAGCCCTGGCAGGGAAATGGGAGTATAGATGTCTAAGGGTGGCAGCACAAGCCACCGTTAAGCACATCTGGTACCCAAGACATGCACACTTTCAGGGGTGGAAGGAGGAAGGGGACAGTTGTCCAACTACTCATGCACACTTTGAAAAAACCCTTTCAACATGGTCCAGAAAGTCTGACAACTACTGATAAACAAATAAGACCTAAACAAAATCCCAGTAAAATATGTCACATACAGACACAAAATTAAATGCCTTCAATATATGGCAAGTTCATGGGTGGCTCAGGTGTTGTGGTTATGGAAAATGCTGAATTTACTGTAATGCTTCAAATCTGAAGCGCCAGGTTCCCAGATATAAGGCCAAGCAGCCAGTGCCAAATTTTCAGGAAGTTCTCTTCATTACACCTGTGAACAGGAGAGACTATGGAATTTATTTTGTGGGTTTAGCAGTCTCATCACTACATTTCTGCCTTGTGCAAGGTCAGGCACACATTTCCAGCAAATCTTTTACTACCTTACTAACCTCCCTCTGGACCCTAGGAACACCCTGGACACTCTTCCTTACTGTCCTTCATATAGACAAATGAATAGGGTCATTTGTAATTGGTCAGATCTGGAGAGATAAAGTTGACCTACAGTACATTTACTCCTTTAAATAAGCTTTCAACTTTTCAGTAACAAATCTTTCTTTACTGTTTCAGCCCATTGGTTCTGCCTGCTGTACTACCTACTCCTTGACAACAGCAGCTTCTGTACCTCTGAGGCTGATCATTAGCAACACATCTCGCTGGAGAACAACAAATACTGTAGCTGGGATCCCTGCAGCAATCTTGTTACCATGAATGGCCTCAGTGGTGTGATTGGAACATGGTGTGACTCCTGAGGTGTCCTGCACAGGGCCAGGAGCTGGAACTGATGATCCTGATGTGTCCCCTCCAACTCAGCATATTCTGTGATTCTATGATTCTCAATCATTTCCTGCTGGCTCCAGAACTGTGACGCCTTGATCCAGAAGACCAGAAGGTATCAGAAAGCATCCAAAAGACACAACATAGTAATCAAATCAATGATTCTACCCAATTATTCCTCACAGCCTTGCAATCCCTACTATCAGATAGCAGGTATCCTTCCTTACACAAAAGCAGACAAGCACTTAAGGCTCTGAGAACAGACCTTCATATATTTTCATTGTTTCAATTTGATTTAGATTGGAAACTGAAAGTTCTTAAGGATCAGAGTTAGTTTGTCTTTAGATACTTCTGACAATGCAAATGAATACTTAATCTCTCACTCCAAATTCCACAAGAACTTTTTTCTCAAATGGATTCTTGGAGGAAGTTCCAAGTGAGGTTACCCAGAGAACAGTTCTGTCCTCCCAGCTTCTGCATAAGCATCAGTGAGAGTCTTCTATTGGAAAGAAAGGCACTGTCTGCAGCTATGTGTAATATTGTTAGTGCCACTTGGTTGTCATTTCCTTCCTACTTCTCCATTTTCATTTTTGTTTTGAAAACTCTCTGTACATTTATCATTTTTACTTTCTAAAAAATCTCAGAAATCTTTTAAATCAGTAAAAAAAAAAAACCCGCCACAATATTTGAAAGGATTTTTTTTAAAGGTTCATATCTATAACACTGAAAGATTTTCTGTATTGCCTATTGTCTGCTGCTGTGGGCAGGGAAACATTGAAGATTATAAACATAAAAAAGAACAACATAGCAAATCTTTTCATCTTTGCATCTTTAATGCTTTGTTGTTATTAAAAAGTGCCCAGGGTTACACTGCAGAGAGGAAAAGGATACTGCCTGAAGTTAGCTTAAAAAGCTAAATTCTATTTTAAGCTGGTACTGTCTGACAAGGGATTTCATATTTGTTGGTTAGAGCTTTTAGCGCAAGAAAAGGGAGTAGAGTGTTGTACGGGAAGAAGATTTATCTGTCAGCTTTTGCTTAACAAAGTTTTGGGAAACTGACAACAAAGCAAACACACACGTTTCTGCAACTGAACAAAGAGCACAGCACTGCATTTCTGAGAAGCAGCTAAGATTAAACTCCTACTTCCCTTCTGCTGAAGCTGTACCAGGGCACACACTGCTCCCAGGTGCTGCAGGAAGCACACTCCAAGATATCAGCTGCTCCTAACACGATGCAGGGTATTGCAGGTCCTACCTCTGGACATAATCCTGGGCTCTGACAGCTTCCCACTCATATGCCAGAGCACTACTAGTAGCAAACAGTCATTACTGTTCAATTCATAACCCTTACCTGAGCAGCTTCTGAGGTGGAAAACACTCCAACCCAAACTCAGTAATAACAATACATGAACTCAGTAATAACAATAATGTTCCCAGAAAATGACGAAGCAGCATGTGTTACTTTCATATATATCACAAAAGCAAGTAAACAGCTGATCTAGCTAATTAATCAGGTATTCTGTTTAGATTTCATTTTGACAGTTTACTTAAAATAATTGTATTTGTTCTCAACAAAGACTGAATTATTTCCTGAGATGGCTGTCACAAATATTTCCTCCTCAGGTCAGAGACCAGGTAATCAAGACAGAATGCTGCTTTTTCAGGGGCAGGACTGTAAAAACTCTTGCAATTCCTTTACTGATATACAAACCAGCTAAAAAACACTTCTTAATTAGACCTCACATGTGAATGGAAGTGAATACAAGGATTCAGCTCAAAAGTCTCAGAGCAAAAGCCTTTAGGCTCATGAGAAAGGCAGCATGATGCATTACAGCACCGAGTAAGTTGCCACAGCACAAGCACACCAAGGCTACAATACTTCAGTGGTCACCCCAGAATAAGCATCTGAGGATGGTCACTACACAGCAATGTAAGCATAACTTTCTTTCCCCAAGATTGTCCCTTTGAATGTCTGTTCACAGTCCTTTCCTGAGCAGGAAAAGTAATTTGACTAGTTTTGGTGCAAAATGTCTACTGCCTGATATTTCTTCAGAGGTATACAAATAAATTCCTGAAGATTTTTCCACACACAGAAAATCCCACATTGTGTCTAGAAGTACAGATTACAGAAACTTCACCACTTAATAAACTGCTTATCTTCAAAAAAACCGCTGTGGCCTATTATCTCAGCAGTAACTGCCAAGACACAGCAAACTGTAACAGCTTCAGAAGACAGAGCATCTGCTGAAGGAGTCCAAAGTCATTTCCAGTTCTCAAAAACAAGAGTTATGTCAACTCATTTGCAGTACACAATTATCCAAAGCAGCCCACAGAGAGGTCCAAGATCATTAGTGAACATATAATAAAAGATCCCTTTTTAAGATAATCACTGGAAAATTTTATGACTTTACCAAGATTATTTTAATCTTGGCTAATCTTACTTCAAGCAGATCTCCTTAAGTCCAGTTATGTTCCTGAGCTCTAAAACATCTGGTGAAAACGGAAGAATTACTTTGACTCCTTCTAAGACCCTGGTGTCAAAAGGTCAGATTATTTCCACCTGACTAATACAAGGCCACGGCAAGACTCATACTGCAGATCTGTTCGTCTGACCTCCTGAAGCATTTCTGGAAGTTAGCTGAAGCGCTGCCCGCCTCGCATATCACCTGTGCTCCCACCATTTCGGCATGGGAGACCTGCACCACCAGCTGGGTAAATCCAGCGCCTTTTGGGCTTTCGGTGCGCTGCTCTTAAATTACCTGATCGGCTGCTCCTGCTCGGCCAAACGTGCCCTTTGGTTAGCAAAGCGCCGGGAAGCCGATCCGCGGCAGCCAGGTGAGTTGGCGAGGGAACACCTGCAGCCTTTGTTGAAGCTCTGGGGGACCTTAGCGGGACTCTCACCCAGGGGACACCGGCGCGGTTATTGAGGGATGGAAAGCCCCCAAAGGAAAGCCGATCCCACGCGTTTCGGGTGCCCACCGGCGCGGGGAGGTCCCGGGGAGGACGGGCCCCGGCGGGACGCTGCCCGCACCACCGCGCAGGGGGCGGGGGGGCTGCGGCGGCTCCGAGCCGGGCGGGGCGGACCGGAGCTCTGTCGGGCTCGGCCGCCCGGGGCCCCTCGGAACACGGCGCCCCCGGGCCCCGCCGCGGGCAGCGCCAGGGCGCGCCGCCGCCCGGGCAGGGAGGGACGCCGGCTCCGGGGGCCGGATGGGGCCGGCCCCGCCGCTCCGCACTCCCCTCTCGGGCCTGCAAGGCTCCGCAGGCCGCAGCCCGGGCAGCCGCCCCTCGCCCGCCCGCAGCCGCCGCCGGTCACATCCCAGGCGGCGGCCCCGCCACCCGCTCCGGCGCGCCCGCCCCAGCGCCCGCCGCGGCCGCGCACTCACCCGCGTCCGTCCCGGGAGATCCGGCTCCTCGGCGCGGGGCGACAGCGAGGACCAGAGCAGCAGCAGCCCCAAGAAGCTGCCCGCCAGCAGCACGGCGCGCAGCAGGAAGCCCAGCTTCAGCCGCATCCTCCCGCCCGCCCTCTGCCTCCCGCCGCCGAGCACGCAGCGCCCGGCCCCGCTCACCGGCCGCCTTCCGCCCCCCGCGGCACCGCACGGCGCGGCCCCGCCGCCGCTCCCCCGCCTCCCCCGGCCGCCGCTGCTCTCCGGCAGCCGCCCGCCTGCGGAGGCTGTCCTCTCGCCGCCGCCGCACGTACAAACTTTTTTTCTTTTCTTCCTCCCCCCCTCTTTTTTTCTCCCACCCCCGCGCCGGCCCGGTAGGCTGCGGGCTGCGCGCTGCCTCCCCGCCGGGCGCAGCGCCGGGGTGATGCGGAGCAGGAAGTGGCCGCCGCGGGAGCCGCGCGGTTCCACGTGGCCGCCCCGCACCGGGGCGGGAGCGCCTCGCCCCGGGCCGCCGCTCGCTCCTGCCCCTGCCCCCGCCCCGCTCCGCGCCCGCCGTGCGCTCCCGTGCACCTGCTCCCGCCCGGAGCGCCGCCGGCCGCGCCTGCAGCCCTCCGGGAAACGGGGGAGCGGGGGCACACCTCGAGCGGGGCTTCGGCTTTCCCGGCTGGGTGAGCAGCGCTGTCTGGGCACCGATTTGTGAAAATTCAGGTGCAAACGTTTAACTTCAGGGGTTGTTATACAGGCGTAGGGTAAGGCCCATTAATTGCTGTGTGCAGCCTGGGCAGAGTAGAACTGGAAAGTCAACAGATTTTTCTTGGGGATAGCAGATTAAGTACAAGATTACAGAGATGCTATCAGCCCCACAGCTTGTGTGTTATTTTGTTACTAATTTTCTGCACTAAAAGTTAGGCATCCTATTTCCTCCTTTGAAGGACTGGCACACGTGCACGCAATACACACACAGAAACGTGGTAATGTAAGCTCTCCCAAAACCAGAGTGATGCAAAAACAGTACTGCCAATGTAATACAACTTTTGGTTTTTTCTGAGTACTATTCAGTACTACACTATTCAGTACTATCCACTTGCTCCGATATTTTTCCATTCTATTTCTTACATGCACTGGAGGGTATCAGATCCATGGATCTTGAACTTTCAATGATAAGAACTGCAGAAACAAAACAGGATATTACACCTTGAACAGGATGACTTTGGAGGAAAAACTGCCCACACCTGAGTGACCTTTGTAGTTGGACACACCTAGCCCCAGTTTGTTTATTCATATAACTTGTGCTATAGCACTATGTGATGTCTTTGTTTTTTTCTTTCTCATTCTGTAAGATCAAGGTATGAGACGTAGACAAATGCAGTGTTTAAGGCATTAGCAACAGCTCTAATCCTCATAAGTGTTTGCACAGCCCTGTGACTTCCACAGGAGCACAGAGCTGTTTTCCTCAAAGCCCCTCCCTGTGTGCAGCTGCAGCAATCACACAGATATCCCAACACAAAGATTTAGGTGACTGTTTTCAGGTAGGCAGCAACATCTGCACAGGGCTGGGAGGGACTGTTAGGGTTTTTTGGATGGGAAACACAGAGTTGAGGTGCCTAGCTCTGAACAGATCCCCTGGCTTGCTGAGCCCAAAAGGAAAAGGCAAGTTGGGGCTGTAAACTGGGAAGGTCGGTAGGCTGTCAGGGAAGTATAGAGGCATCTCTCCAACTCTTCCTGCAGTCTTTAGTGGAGGCCTTACTGCAGCAAACAGTGCTCTTTCCTCATGTTGTTTCATTCTTCATGTTTGGCATCCCTTTTTAATGTCCTGTGCTGTTGCTCTCAGCACACTCCAGTAAAGTGAGAAGAAAAATAAAGTTAGTAATAGCACTGCATGGAGGGTACAGCCATGGGATGTGACACTGCTCTGCTGCTGCTCCTCAGAGCTCAGAGTGGTGGGGACAGAGCCCTCTGCATGCAAGTTGATATGATGACAACTCACATTTGTAAGGTTGCCTGCTGAAAACAGATTTGGGTTTGGGGTTATTTTTCAGATAGAGGTGTATGTTTTGCACAAAGCCATAGGCAAAGGGAAACCACACATCTGTGATTTCACAGAGAGCTACACCCTTGGAGGATGATCAAGAGCTTTGTCGTTCTGGTTTTAGATAGCCGAAGTCTCGCTGTCAGCGAACTCCCCCATTAGCTATCCGAGGACAATGGCTTCTGTACCAGGAATTTTAACCCCCCCAGCGTTTGTTTTATCCCGAAAGAGAAGTAGCCGATGCCCACTGGGAGGCAGTGCGGGCCAGTGGACAGGGTGTTCGTGCCAGCCAGCCCCTCTCTCAGCCACAGCCACCCATGACAGCAGATTGGAGAAGGCGTCATGTTTTTGTTTGACCACTCTGCCTGCCTGCCCTGATTCCTCAACAGCGAGCATCTTCTACCTTTTTTCTTCTCACGCACAGGCCATGCAGTCTGACTCCAGAAGTATTAGATTAATACTGACCTTGGAAGTGTTTTATTTCAGTTGCATCCTTGTTAAGGATGTGCTGAAGTTTCAAATTCTGCACTTACAGCTCCTCCTATGTAGTAAAGTGCCTAAGAAGACCTATAGAAAATATTTTCACTCTTGTAGAATTTGTATCAGCTCAGACAGAAAATTCAAATTACATTTGGCTTTGGATTGCCTCCAGTACTATTCAAAACCACTTTTCAAAGTCTTTTACAACCTGGAGAGAAAAAGATGGAGGGTTAAACAGAGGCTTCAGTCCCACTCAATTACAAAATGTAAGTCAATATAAAATTATATATAAAAATATAAGTATATATAAAAGAAGTACATCATATATAAATACATATATATATATAAACCATTATGCTATTACTATACAGGCAGTATTAAAACACAAATCTGTTATTAGACAATTAATCAATCTCTGTTAGACTGTTATTTAGTCATTCAAATGTTTCAAACAGGCTGGCAACTGTCACAATGTTTGTATCTGTATGTGGACACCTACTGCTTGTCACATAGAAATCATATGTTCACTTCTCCATGTATGACTCCAAATAAAAGTGCAATGGCATTTAAGTCATTACAAAGCCTTGCTGCTCTTGAACCAGAGACCTAGGATGACCTGGAGGTGAGGTATCAGATTACCAATCCCCTAAGCCATGCAGTTGCCTTATTGCTGGGGATTTGGGGGATGGTGTCTGGAGCAGGGTCACTGACCAATGTCAAAACCTCATGCAGTTGCTCGCAGAGGAGAAGCATCTGGATGTGGATCTACCCCTTAACTCTGTCCTGAATACCTGGCCACAAAAAACTACTCTGCTTGTTCAGAACATAGTGTCTGAAAGGAAAATCCAACAGACTTTTGACCTCTCAAGGTGAAAATCATGTTTTACAAAGTTTCATAATACAACAAGCTGCTGTAAAGACTTCATTCTACATAAAACCTCACATTTTGCTCATTTGAGAGGTTTCTTCTATCAACACATAGACAATCTTTCTACTTAGTGCAGAGAGCACAAAACACAACTTTTTTTTTTTTGTAATGTAAATTGGTTTGAAATTAAATATTTGAAATTAGCAATGGTGTGCTGGTTTTGGCTGGGGTGGAGTTTATCTTCAGAGGGGCTGGTATGGGGCTACATTTTGGTTTTGTGCTGGAAAGGATGTTTTTGTTGTTGCTGCTGTTGCAGGGCTTGCCCAGGATCAAGGCCTTTTGTGCTCCTCACCCCATCCCACCAGACAGGAGGCTGGGGGGTACACAAAGCAGTGGGAGAGGACACAGCTGGGACAGCTGTCCCCCACTGATCAAAGGGATATTCCAGGCCATATGGCACCATGCTCAGTATATGAAGTGGGGGAAGAAGAAGGAAGGGATGGGGACATTTGGAGTGATATTGTGTTCCCAAGTCACCAGATTTCTTGGACATGGCTGAACACCCACCTGCCTATGGGAAGGGCTAAATGAGTTTCTTCTTTTGCTTTGCTTGTGTGCATAGCTTTTCCTTTAATTATTTAAATGTCTTTATTTCAACCCAAAAGTTTTCCTACTTTTACCCTTCCAGTTCTCACCCACATCCTGGTGGGGGTGAGTGTGTGAGAGGTGGTGTGGTGCTTAGCTGCCAGCTGGGGTTAAACCATGACAAATGGATTCTAGACCTCAAACAGTTACACTTTCCTTAGATGTTTCCAGATATAACTACCAGCACTTCATTAAGTGCAGTATTTCCCTACATGATGTACTCTAGCCTTCATGTAACAACAAACTTGGTCATGCTTTGATTAAAGAAAGGGTTGGAAAATGCCAGCTGGCAGAAAATAACTTGGCTTCCTAAACAGAATACTCTCAACACAAGCAACACCTTTGCTCCAGTGAAACCTTCCAGCTCCATGTAATCTCTTTTCCCATCCTGACCTTGCATTTAGATGGTCATCTCTGAACAAAGCCTTTGCTGCTCCTGCACTGTTACTTTGGATCTGGCCCTTGACCCTTACAGAAAGCTCGTGCAGTGTCTAAGCCCTACAGCACATTTATTAGTACTGCACATCGGAGTCCTGGCGCGTCCTGGTGGAATCCAACACATACCTTCCCCCTAGTTTTCATCTGTGAAGGTAGGAACTCAATGTGGGGCTAGAGCTGCCTGGCCGGATCTCCCTCCCTTTATTTTAAGCTCATTCTCCCTTCTGACACCACCCCCAGCACTGAAGGATTTGAAGAGAGATTCTGGATTAATGAGGTGGTCACTGCAAGGAATAATCCAAAGGGCACAGTTTGGCATACATTATGATGAATAAAAAGTTATGCCCTAAATATTTACAATGTGTGTATATTTCACCTCAGAGCTGACAAAAAGGAACTGGAGTACAGGATTTTAAATTCTTCCTAATTTCTGAGACTGTTTTAAAAATACTTTAATCAAACAAGTACCTCTAGGGAGTACTTAATATATGCTGTAGCAACTTAGATTATGATTGCTTAATCTGCACTGTTTTGTGTTCATGATCTCCAGTTTTTAGTACCATTCTTCCTGTAATTCTCAATTATCCTTCTTTTTTTAATCCAGCAGTTTAGCCATGCATGTCCTACCAAAAATTATCCTTCAGCATTTGAATAGATGCTTTTGGCAGAGCGCTGTTCGCCTCCTTTGCTTTTCCTGTCACTTTTATGAAGAATGTGTTATGAAGTTCCTGTCATTACATTTAGCCCCCATACTCCTGTCATGCCTACTTAGTCTGTTTAATTCCTGCAGTATCACCTCTAGCTCCTCTTCTCTTTTCCCACACAGCAACAATAAGCAAGCTCATTATTTTGTACTGGTCTGGATTCTACCAATGTCCTGAAGATTGGAATGTAAAATGATTTTTTTTCCAGCTGCCCTTTCTGATAATGAGTACCAGTCAATGCCTATGAACTATGTTGTATTATTAATACTGCTTTTGTCTAGAAAAAATAAACTTCTTTTGCACCTACAAGTCCTCAAAATATCCACACTGATGAGTGTTGACAATCCTTGACAGATTTAGATCTCATTAAAATAGTGGATGGGATGGTCTGTTACGTGGGTGTTTCATTTAAGTAGGAGAAGAAATGGAATGATTCTGAGCATGGTTTTGCCATTTAAAAAGCAATATATATATTTTAAATTACTTTTCAGAGAAACATACCTGTACTTTGAGCCAGACAAAAGTATGAGTAGTCATATACTCAGCCCAGTCTCAGGTCTGGAAAATCTCCTTTTCCAAGGTGCCATATTTCTGAGCATTTCAAACAGAAATTAAACTTGCATCATTTCCTGAATCTAGGGCAGAGAAAATTGAAATAGGTTGCTGCAATTTCTGTTATGCTGAAAAAATGAATGTTGTAAACACCCACAATTTCAGATGCTGAGTTATTTTTCTAAAAGACTTTTAGTGGAGTTAATTTGATGAACTTGTCAGTCTGAACAAGAACCACAGTGACTTTGAGAGAAAAAATGGAAAATTTTACAACTGTAGATTAATTAAATTTTTGCATTTCTTAGGAATTTTGTTGTTTAGTGATAAACTGTTGACAGTTTAATAAATAACTGGCAACTTGAGTGTTATTAATTCAGTATCATTTATCAGCTATAAACCTTCAATAAGTTTGACACAACTCTTTTCAGGATATATTCTGCCATGAGGTTCAAAATTAAACAAAACCTACCTGCTGAAGATATGAAGCATTTGTAAAGCATTAGAGAAGTTAAATAAAGCCAACATGTCAAATTTGCACAAGATAAAGCCTTATGAAGTTGCACAGGCAAATAAAAAAGACATTCAAAATTGGTTACATGGAAAAGTGTGGATGTACAACAGTTACTAAATGCTAAAACAAGGATATGTTCTTTGTTCCTTAGCTTAGTCACTGTTCCAGAAAGAGTGGCCTTTCTCATTTTACTTAAATGCACAAAAGGTCCATGAATAATTACTGGAAAAGACAACCCAGTAGATAAATTTATACATTGAATAACATTGCCGAGTTGTGCAAGGCTCTGGTTTTCAAACTGGGGTTCTGGGGAGTGGGAGTGCTGTCTGCCACAGAGAATGATAGCAAGACTACTGCCATTAGCCATATGAAGTTTGTGGTATATATCACAAATTGGCAACTGCAAGTTAAGGATCTTAGTAGCAGTGAATCACAAAAGCATTGCTTTTGAAATGCAATGAATTCTTCTTTTGAAGGTTAAGAAAGCTCTGAGGTTTCTTAATTCTTTGCAGATTTTATAAACTGTGAGTTTGATGTTATTGGTGGTTGGAAACAAACACCACAACGCTGAGCAGCCTCTTTTCTTAGTAAGCTGCCATTTGGAGAGAAATTCTCAAACAGTAGATTATTTCTATTATGTATGGTCTGACACCAAGCTGTATTGATTAGTAATTCAATGAAACGATGCTGTTATAAAAGGCATGTTTTGTGGGAATTGCAGGCAATAGCAGCTGTTGTATCATAACACTGCACGCATTCAAGTCTTCTACTAAATAGAATCATAATGAAATAGATTTCATAAGGGCTTCAGTACACCATGTAGTGCAGAATTCTGGGGAAGTTTTCCCTTTTCTCAGGTTAAAAGCTCCAGACAGATATCCCTACTTGGTATGAATTAAATGATTTCTAACTTTTATAGCTTTAGCTCTGGTATCAATGTAGATAATTCTTTCAAATTTTTTTTTAGTATGTTTTCTATCTTTTTCCCAAACTTAGAGCTCAACAGAAAGAAACAAACAAAAAATGAACAAAAAAAGCCAACCAAAAAATCCAACTAAAATGCCCCCCTGCAAAAAAACCCAAACAATCCCAAACAAACCCAACTCTCCAAAAAACCCCAAACCCAACCAACTTTAGAGAAAAAAATATTAGACATGTCAAAATGACATTGAAATGAAAATAAAGAATTGTAATAAATTCATCATCTTGGCAAGCCAAACTCCACTACTTTTCAGTCATCCATGACAAGAAAGAGGGATAATGGCAGGATCTCATCCATCTTCAAATACTGCAGGTTTCCAGCTCTCAGCTCACTGCCTGTCATTGCCCTTTTTCTAATATATACCAGTGTGCTGGGTTTGGCTAGGGTGGAGTTAATTCTCTTCCCAGTGGCTGGCATGGGCTGTGTTTTGGGTTTGTGCTGAACACAGGGCTGATAATGTGGAGATGTTTTTGTTATTTCTGAGCAGGGCTTGCACAGAGCCAAGGCCTTTTCTGCTTTCCATCCTGCCCTGCCGGGAAGGAGACACAGCCAGGACAGGTGACCCAAACTGAGCTCCAGAGCATATGGCATCTTGCTCAGTATATCAAGTGGGAAAGAGGGAGAAAGGGAGGTACATTTGGAGTGATGGTGTTTGTTTTCCCAAGTCCCCATTGCATGTGATGGGGCCCTGCTCTCCTGGAGATGGCAGAGCACCTGCCTGTCCATGGAAGCAGTGAATTAATTCCTTGCTTTGCTTTGCTTGTGTGCCTGGCTTTTGCTTTCCCTCTTAAACTGCTTTTATCTTTTCTATTATTTTGTCCATGAATTCTCTGGTTTTTACCTTTCTGATTCTCTCCCTGATCTTGCTGGTGGGGAAGTGAGTGAGCAGCTGTGTGGGGCTTAGCTGCTGGCTGTGGTGAATTCAAGACAAAATGCAATGATTTAAAAACTAGTTGGCTGAGTAGTCAAATTAAAAACTTTTCTAAATTCCCGGGTGTGTGCAATTAGCAAGAAGGAGATCTCTAGACTACTTCTATTTTTACTCTGGCTTAACTGAATCTTTGTTCTGAGTAGTTTGATCAAATCAGGGACATCCCTTAGGTTTAGATGTTAGAGTTTACAGAGTAAGTGGGAAAAGGTTGATTTACAGTTTTGTCCTTAAGAAAAAAATTACTTGTTTCAACTTGAAAAGCATCTTTATAGAGCAGAAGACTAATCTAATTAACATTATTTGAAATTAAACTGAAGAATCACTGATTTATTCCTATTCACTGATCCTTTGAGTAATGAAACCTGCTCCTGTAAACCTTAGGCTGAAGTGAAGTTTATTTCGTTCCTGATTTACTATCAACAACTCTGACATTTGTATATATCCTTAAATGAACACAGCATCTGTGTAATTAATTGTTTTTTCTTTTCCCCTCCAAACAGTGCTTAGAAGAAGAAATGATAGGAAAACTTCATATTCAATAAGGTATGGTGATTCACTGCAGGACTTCTGTAGACTGTTGGCTAACTGCTTGAAAAACCTGATGACTTACTAACCTCCAAGGTACAGAAGTGAACGTCTTCAAAACATTTTAGATTTAAATAAGCAGACTTATAATATGAGTGAAAATGAGTGTAACAATTTGCCTCTCTTTCAGGTTTATATCCAAACAGTATCTCCAAACTTGCCCTGCTAAGTCTTTGGTGTCAGGGCTGATTAGAAGACAGCAGGAGATGGAGGCACTGTTCCTCCCAACATTTAGGTCAGCTCTGGTACTCTCTCGTGTGTATCTAGGCCACGTCTAATTAATCCCAGAATATTCCATCACGGCTGGATTACCTCTGTCAGCATCTCCCTCAGAAACCTGGCAGCAAAGATTTTACCTCAGGTGAAGATTTTCCCTTTTCTAAAGGCAAATGGGAGTGGTTTTTTTCATTGTATAAGTACATAATGTTTATGCAACAATTTACAGAGCCCTTAGGATGTGAAGTAGTAGAGGCAAATAGCTTCACTTGAAATTACTGGAATGTTGCCAGATTTAAACAGAGCCAAGATTTCACCCCCAGTTGTTTTAAGGATGAAATTTACCAGCCTTCTCATCTCCAAGTTTGAATTTACTATTCAAAAGAATCACATACTTTTTCCTTTTTCCAAGCCAAATGTGAATACTAAGTGCTTATTCAAACTAAGATCAGAAAAGATGAAAGATCTAAAAACACAATAAAAATTGCACCTAAAAGCCTACTGGACATCAGCAAAAGTTAAGGAACTAAATGGTATTTTTGCACTTTAAGCTGCAGCCTGCAGTCTGCGTGGTCACTACCAGAATTACATAAACAGTTTGCAAAGACACATAACAGCTCTTGGAGGTGCTTAAACCAGGACAAGCCAACACTGTGGAGCAGTGGATATGCAACTGGAAAAATAACCCAGAGACACTTACTGAACTAAGCACGCCCTGCACCCTTGTTCTGTGTACCACTGTAGTGAAGCACAGAATCACAGCACTAAAAACAGACTGTTGATTAGCAATGCAAAATTTAGATGCAATTATGCAAGGTGCTGGCTGTCTCAAGCAGTGCCACATTTGTATAATGAGGGTGAAAAGTATCGTGACTTTTGGAATCAATGCGCAGTAAACATGCATTCATCTATGCAAAGAGCCAGTGGATTTTTTCTTATACCTGATGGTAAAGTACTACATGACAAGACAATTTATTAGTTGCAGAACAAGAAATACCAGCTATTGGAGATGTATTAATATGAACTTTAAAACACAGGCAAAGAACTGCCCAGGCATTTCTGCAGTGGGTGGGGTATGTTTTTAAACTACACCCTCCACTGCTCAAATTATGCCCTTGCAATCTCCTTTAGTTAAACAACAAAAGGATTTTCACTGCATTTTGCACAGGATTGTTGTCAAGACCTTCATTTAAATGCTTCTACTGATACCTTCAGGATTATGTAATATTAAAAATGTAAATAAGATGCAGATTTGTCACATACTCATTTTCCTTTCCTATCTAAGTTGATTACTAAAGGAGGAAATGCTATTCATATATGCTCATTACTAACACACTAAAAAATCCATATAGCGAAACTTCATTTTTTTAAATGTCACTAGAAAAATAGTCAAATCAGTATTAGTCATGAGTTTTGCCTGAGTTAAGATTTACCTACCCTCCACATGTGCACTTGTGGGTCACTGACATACTTAGCACCTGTGTTTGAGAAGTCATCTTGTTTTATCTCATATTAGAAGGAGGAAGGCAGATTTTCTAGACATATGGTGACTGCACCTGCAGCAAAAGTACAATAGGTGTATTGCAATCCATAGCCAATGCAGTGAAATTGCCAAATCCTGCTTTCTTGCATTTAATGTCTTAGCCTGAACTCGGATAGATAAAAAAAATATTGTCATTTTGACAGGTGAAAAATTTACACTGGCTGGTGATGTGATATTAAAACCACTCCAGCTTAGTGTAAGCTCTCACAATTCACATTTTTCTTCCACCAAGGTCCCCTCCTATGATACTGGACTTCACCAGAGGAGAAGGACTCGCATCTTTTTTGTCATGGTCCAAATCTCTGGCTGTACCTAAGAGTCCTAAGCATATTTTGCTCTGCCTAAATTTCAGTCAGGCAGCTCAACTCAGAGCAGAAGGATGAACTAGATTTCTACTGGTGTTTTTAACTGTGATAAGCTTCCTGATGCTATGCATTAAGTAAGATACCAAAATAACAGTGTGGGACAGTTGCCACTATTGAGAGATTATAGCATCTTTGTCCTTTTGCTTTGGAGATGTACCCCTTCTTGTGCTTCATCACCCAGTTCAGACTCTGTACAAACTGTGCTTTAATAGTGGTAGCAAGATGAAGATCCCAAAATGCTTTCTAATCTTATAATTCCCCATCATGTACAATGCCCACTAGGCTACTAAATTTTCACCATCTTTTTTGTGACTAGCATCTCAAACTCATCAGCCTTAAGCAGCAGAGGAAAAGTTACAGTTGTTAGAGTTATCTATAGTCTTCATGATTGCATCTTGATAAGAGAGAAAGGTGTGCTATTTGTGTGGATTCTACAGGGTCTAAACGTGGAACGCTATTGCCCTGTATGAAGCAGAAAAACATGAAGTTGTTATTCAAAAAGTGTATCAGTCATGTTGGTTTAAAAATGCCCTACATTCAAGAATGTGGATTTTAGACTCAGCTAGGCACAATTTTCCTTGTAACACCTACAGAAGTTAATTAAACTTTGCAATCCAGACAGAGATGCACTATTAGCTCAGACAAGAATGATAAATAACTTGCACTTTCTGAGAGAATGAGTACATATAGTACATGCAAAATGTATGCTATTATTTTAAAAAGAGCTTTTAAGTTTTTATGAGTGCCTGCATGACTTGCATTGTTGTTGAAAAATTAAAACAGTTCATTGTATGCCTTGAATGCTAGAAATTGCTTCATATCATAATAATATCCTCTCTGACCACTCAAAGCTTTCACCTAGTTGTTCCTTTCCTTTTACTGCCCTTTTGTTGGTCTGCCATTCTTTCTTCTCCCTTATAAAAGAAAAAAGAAAAAAAAAGGGAAAGATTGTTTTGTATATTATGAATTCCTCATTAGGCTCCTGATACCAGGATTCCAGTTTCCTGCTCAGTTATCTGGGTACAGTTAAATGATTCTCTCCATTCAACTATCCACAATAACTGCCAGTAGGAAGACAAGTGTTTCACTGTGCATCATGGTGCATGGAAAGGACCAGCAACAGGATCAGCATTTACACCTGTTACACAGCCTAAGATAAAGCCAGATCTTTCTAAAGCTAGTGTCACAGCCTTCCCCCTGCTATTTACAGGTATAGGAGGAGCTTTCACAGTGACCAAACAAGTCTCCAGCACTTTGGGTGATACCAGTCTGTCACTGATGAAACCTGAGACCTGGTATAAAATGCAAACAAAAGGCAGAACCACTCAGCAAATGGATGTCACGGTTCAAGAGCTTCTGACAGTCAAAGTCCTCAACAAATACCTGCACCCTGCCTAAGTTTATGACTTTGATGTTCCTCAGCTCTGCATAACAGCACATGCCTTCATTACACCAATCCTTGTATTGTGCACCAAAACCTGAGCTCCAAAGAAGTGGCAGAAATCAAGCTAACAAATCTTCGTGTAGTTGTCTGAACACAGCCAACTTTCCACCAAGTCTAAGCTCAGGGGTTCTGGGGATGAGCATCCCAATAAGCTTTGAGCCAAGCTAAAAAAAAAAAGTATACAGGTTCTCTTTTCTTTTGACATAATAAAGGCCTGGTGTCCATTGTTGGTTACCTCAGATCTGAAGCTGTCCTGTCCAACTTCTAAAATAAAGAACATCATTATGGAAATTGATCTGTCCAGAAATCCTCAGCAGATCCGTCTGGTTTCCTTCACTCTCCTGTGATTGTTGTGTTTCAAATTCAATACATTATTTTATGTATCCTGCTGACAATGTTTATTTTTAAGAGCATGCAACTCTCAGTGCTCATCTATTCTTCCTTAATGCTGACAGTGCTCTGAACATGGCACTGGCCCTCTGAAGCAAGGCAAATGAAGTAGGAGTCATCTTAGAAATGGTTCTGCTTAACATCAGGACAGAGATTACCTTGCCTTCTGGTTTTGAAATTTCAGTATGCAAAATGCAAAAGGATCTTAGGAGCTCTGCAGGCTTAGCAAAGACTACAAAGTTTGCGTACTGTTATGCTGACCTGGTTCAGCTCTTTCCTCATCTTTCTCTGATGTCTTTTTGCTTGGTACACTGTCTATTGTGTATCCTTGTCCTGTGTTTGCTCAATTGCCTAGCACAGGCCAGTCCAGGCTGTTATTAGAGCACCTACAGGATGGGGCATGTATTTGCATGTCTCTTAATCCTGGAAGAAACTGAGACCTCAGGCAGGCACACACAACCTACTTATCCAGGATTTCAATATGTTTTCTATAGATACAGAACCCCCGCAGGAATTTCAAAAGGTGTATCTGCACTAATTAGAATCCATATCATTTGTGTGCCAGAGCTTTACTCATCACCTCAAATTGCCCTCATCCACCCCAATTTTAGCATTCATATCATCCTGCTTTGTTGTGAAGACATTTGAAAATGAGTTTCAAGCTCACAATCCATCTCTAAAGCAGTAATGAATCCTGTGACAATTTTTTTTTTCAATAAACCAGCTTGCATAGCAAGTCACAGCTTTTATTACTGTTAAATTTCTTAATTCTGTAAGACTCCTGAGTCTGAAATACCTGCAGCTCTTCAGGACCATTGACTAGGTATTTAATCTCTGAGAGTATAAGAACCTTTTGTGCATCAAATTCTGCATACTGCTTTTTTGGGTAGTATTTTAATAAGCTTTCATCACTATTTTTGCCCCATCATTCTTAAGGTCCACAGGCTAGATGCTGAGTATGTATAAATCATGCAGCTCGAAATACATCAAAGGATCTATATTCATTTGTCCCAGGATTTGGCTTCTTACTTCCAGTTTTGCCATGTTTTTTCTTTAACTAATCTTGTGAATGCCTTAACCACATCCACTTCCTACTGTATTCCTCTCAATCCCTTTCAATTACCTCCTTCTTTACTTATAACACACCCTCCCCCAATGATTTCCTTGTAAATCCTTTTAAATCCTAATTTTTCTTCTCCTTCTTTCCTTTTTTTTTTAAATTTTTAAATTAGCTAATTGTTAGAAGCATTTGTAACTCTGAAATCATACTTCTGAATGCATTGTGGTATGTTGACTCTAAGGGCTAAAGTTTCTAAGCAGCTTTCAGAATAATGAGATTTGTGGGCATGACTCCCTTGCACTGCTATAAAGATTTACTTTTTAGAGTTTAAAGATTTTTAAAAAATCAGTTTCTTTGTGCTGCTGACTTGTAAACACTGTGCTTGGAGCATGGATCCTTTACAGCACAGTTAGCCTTTTCTCTTTCAAGTTAGTTACTGTGCTTGAGGAGTTTGTGAACATCTACCCTTAACTTTAAAACCTGAGGGTGTGTCATTCCTAGCAGCAGCTGATACACGCTGCAGTTTTTGTCCAATTTGCCTCCACTCTGCACTTAGCATTTGTGTACATAAAATATTTGCACTACACATTTCTTTAACAGGCAACTCATTCTCGTTCTTTGCCTGACCACATTTCCACTGATAGGTGGCAGCAACTTGTAGATATCTTATGGAAAATCTCAGTCCAATCAAAAATGGTAGACTCATGGGCCACATTCCTCAGGTTAGCAATACCCAAATGTTAATCTAAGATGCTTGGTTTTGCAGACAACTGTTCCTGACATTCCATAGTCCGTTATACTCTCTATTATTATTTTCCATCAAACTGCCTGGCAGCACCTCACACGTAGTAGTTACCTCACACGTAACTACTGCCTGCAGCCTGCCTGAGCAGGCGGTGTGGGCTGGCTTTGCTGGGTCTAACCTCGGATCCCTTTGTTTGCCTTGGCAGTGATGCTGTCGCACAGCAATATCAGCGAGCCAAAAGGGTGAGGTGGCTTCACCCACTGCACCGGCTGGTGCTCGGGTGTTTGCATTGCCTCAGGCCAGCCCGGCACTCCTGCACCACACCCGCGGCCGTGTGTGCTCTGCCTGGGTGCTGAGGGACATTTGTCAACCTGAAATCCGACATCCTGATGCAATCCAGGATGCAGCCACGTATTACTGCTTGTTTTCCTTCCTTCACCTCCCCTGACACAATGAAACCACATCTCATCCTGCTGTTTTCTTGTGAGCTAGTCAAAGCATGTGTTGAAGCCCCTTGCACACCAAAAATGCATATTGTGCTACTGCTTCCTCAATATATCACCAGATTTTGAATGCCACGGTTTTGCCCCACCAGCAGCTTTTTGGTTAGCTGATGCCATTCATCATGAACTATGGGAAACATAATTACAAAGAACTGGAAAATAAGAATGCTATGCAAGCCTCCTGGAAGGGAGGGAAGAGGGGAAAAAAAAGCTATCTAGTACACGTATAGTTTTTCACACATGGCCTCATCTCCCTTTCACTTTCCTCAGGAATTATGTGATAGTCATTTTACCATGACTCTGTTATCATAAAGTTATACATATGCCTAAGTAATTTGATAAGCAAGGTATTAAGGTTTGTGCTGTGTCTATCATGCTGCCCAAAGCTGCATAAGTATATTGACTTTTCCATAATTAAAACAGCAATATCCATTCATTGAAATTAACTGTTTGCTGAAGAAAAACATAACCAAAACTGTTAGCTGCAGACTTTTACAGACCCTGGAAAATGTTAAGGTTACAAGACTAACATGCATAGACATGAAAATCTGAAAGGCAGGTAGAAAGGCGAAGAATTAAAAGAGAAGTTAAGAACTGTTGAGTATTTCCACACATTAAAGTGTTTAGAAGGCTTCATTCTTATCTATTCCTTGTACCAACTATACTTTTACACTTCTTTTTCAAATCCTTTACATCTTAGTAATACAACTGTCACACCAAGCATTTGTAGGTATCTTAAAGTGTTTTCATTTTGAAGAAAAAAATTTTCCTGTGTTCAGAATCACCTCCTTGCTTAGCATGCACTGGGAGTAGAGAAGGTTGCAGTACTGATGATGTGTCTGAATCCTCAATACATTTCCCATCTAGCACCTGTAACTTCTGCCCTTTAAATACAGAGAGTCTGGGGAGGGGTATGGTAGTGGCATCTTTTTTCTTTGCTTCATTTGCTGCCCAGTGATGTGACTTGGCATGGCTGCTTTAGGGGAGGCAAAGGAAAGGTGACTGGAGTCAGGCTTTTGTTCCTTGGCCAGCACAATGTTTCAGGTCAGTGAGCCAGGCTGCCTTTGCTGCTGTGCATTCACCTTCTTCCCTGTATTAACCCCAGCAGCTTTAATACACCTTTTTCTGGGGACAAAGAAATGCTTTTCTTCCCAACCTAGTGGTTGTCAGATCTAGTTTTTACAGGTTTAAGGAAGCATTACACAAATGCTTTAAGCAGGTAAGAGTGAACTCCTGCAATTATATACAGCCTTAAGCATGAAAGGGCACCGAAAGAATTGCAACTCTTTAAAAAGATTTTCACTCAGAAGGTGATCCTGCCTGGATCTGGTAAATTGATCCAATGGTTCCTACAACTCCCAGATGTCACAAAGGGTGGGACCAAGCTGTGTCTGAGAACCTCAGATCTGGTACTGTAACAAGCACTCCCAAAAGCAGTGTGCTGTGTTTTATACCTACTCTGCCAAGTGCTGGACTGGGACAGTGCAGAACAGAAACCAAAGACATTTTCTGCTTTTTGTGCCAGCTCTTGCAATTCTAGGGTGTTTTCCTTAAGGCCTCAGTCCTTACAGCCTTGTAAATAAATTCTAGCTGTGACAACTGAACAAAACCACAGTCTCCCCATCCTTGCTTCCCAAGCCCTGTCACCCT